AAGTTTTCGTGGAAAACAATGACATTAAATATAGTGTTTAAAATTTAAAATATATAGGTTCCTTATAAGTTTTAAGCGCGCATAATACAGTTTTAATCTATAAGATACGTGTGAATAGCTACTTGGTTTTGCCGTATTTTGAAACGTATTTTGTCTTAATCAAAATAATTACAAAATATCAAACAATTTTCATATATTTTATTACGTTCACATTATGTCGAGAAGTAGTAATGCTGTTCAGACTTTTATTGGTTAGTAATTTGAAACATCGATACCAAAATCCCTAATTTATATTATCAAAATCCTTCTTAACGTCATCAACTAAGGTTTTCTTTTATACTTAGTGTACAAATATATATTATTAGGTATACAAAAAGTCAAAATTAATGTGTCGTGGTGGGATACTGGAGTAAAAATAAATTTAAACCACGAGAAGTGAACTGCTTTAAAAAATTGCTTCGTATAAAAATCTATCGTTCTATCAATTCGCTCATGGAGTATTAAAAAATAGAAGAAATATCCAAATACTCGGAGTTAACACAGTGATTGTGAGTGCATTCAAGATTTCAACATTTGCTATTATACTCAAAGTCTCGAACATAATACTGTCATGTACAGACAAATGAAATTAAAATCAATCAATAACAGCATAGAATGAATAGAATAAAATATTTAGGATTAAATAAATAAATTAATTAATTAATTGATTCGATTTTGTTGGATAGATGGCGCCACTGCTGTATCTTTACTACCCCTCATTTTCCTCCTTATGGGCTGAATTTCCAAAAATCCTTTGTTAATGGACGTTTATGTCATAATACCTATCCGTGTGCCAAATTTAAGCCACATCCGTTGAGTGGTTTGGGCTGTGCTTTAATAGATTATTATTATTTTGTTATTTTTTGTGTTAATCTAACTATATGATGAACATTTTCAGCTGTATTTTTAAAGTGCTTGTTTTATAGGTGTGAAAATATCTTATACGGCGTTCAGATCTTCCCACTTGGGTAATGAACATTTTTGATCCTTATCGTTTTCGCGTAACGCTCGATACCCATTATATTTTTAAAAGGAGCGGTGATTTTTATATCTGAAATTCTACTGGTTTTTTTAAAATTTTGCAAAAAACATCGAAAATTCTTTTGCCATTAATAGTCGTTTAATTCTTACATCGGACTGACCGTCAAACTTGGAGGTAGGTCGAGATCGGAATTCTTGCCGAGCTAATTTTCTATGGAAGTAATATTTTTGTACTTGTGTTTTTTGATGTGATCTAGCACATTTTCAGATCTAGCCACTTGGGCAGTGAACATTTTCGAGCGTTATCTTTTATATATTTGCGTCAAGCGTGTAAATATGTACGTAGCGTACCTACTTATTATGTAAATATTTTATTCTATTAAAAGTTATCTCTTTGTGTCCTGAAAAATAAAATTTGAACAAATATAAATCTTAAAAATGTTCAATCCTATCCTACAAATAATACGAAAGCCCGTGTCTTAAATTAAGAATAATAATTACTTCGAATTCTACATAATAAATCTATATCTCTAAGCTCATATTATATATGTTTTCACGTCTTCCGAGGGTCACCTGTGCCACTTTTTTTTTATGCCAATTATAATATGTTCGAATAGTTTCAAAAGTTATGTTCGGTGCAGTGGTCGTGTATCGTCGTAAATAATAAATATTTATTATTTTTTGTTTTTTAACAGAAACAATAGATGACGAAAGACTGTTCTACCTATTATGAATGCAAGATTCTTCGTTGAGTGGCGGCGGTGCTTTTAATTATTAGTGTAACTTATATATAGGTACGTGATATGAAACTTTTAGTCACTCGAAGTTTACGGACGTGCAAAAAGTTATGACTGTACTTGAGTAACAATTGTGTTTTTTTCATTTTCAATTGTAACCTGATATTTAGATTAAATGTATTATTGTCGGATAATACCAAGTGATGATCATGTTAAAATGGATTCTTTCATTATTTATTCATATATTTTTTATTTTTTTTTTTAAATTTAGGTAATCACAAATTAAAAATCCACTAGAGTATTAGACGTTGGTTTTTGTTCACTCTATATTGGTCTACCTCGTCGATGATGGTGATGTGTACAAACTACAAAATATAAATTATGGTCATAAAACAATTTTATGCGGAGTAAATTACTATTTTTATAACTGGGTTTTTTTTTTGTTCAGATTCTTTCATTATATACCTTTTACTCGCACTATGAGAAATAACCGAGAAAATAGAAAAAAACGTCTTTTTGAAATACCAATATTAAACTCGATTTTCTATTTATTAGACAGTACTACTTGCAATTTTCCGACCACTTTTCTGTCTTAAACGTCATTTATCAGGCCCGTAGCCACAGTACCACCAAAGTTAATATCTAAGTCGAAAAACGTCTTATCGATTGTTATTTTATTTGAAACGATTTGTAATCCTAATTTCGACATTTGTACACCTCTCCAAACTTGGGAAAATCAATTTCTCCGTGGCGGTACTGATGTAACCATCAGCTTGTTGTGGTCCTATACTGACTCTAGAATAGTATCCACGATTGTTATTTCATTTGTAATCCTAATTTCAACATGACAAATTTGCTGTCATTATTGGTGGAATTGTCATTGGACTTGTCAGTGGAATCATATCATAATATAACATAATATATAGTAATAAATTCCTTAAAATGTATTGACTTATTGTTATTGCAAACGAATCGAACAATAACATATTTTTAATTATTTATAATAATTAAAATTAAAAATAATCTGCAAAGGTTTCAGAAACTGGACTGGACTTAGCTTACCACAGAATAATGGTTTGGTATAATAGTAATTATTTTTAATTCGATGATTATTGTTTGCTTTCAAAGAAACTGCCCAGAGCTGAATAATAATCAAAAATAATGTTTGCTTGCATTTTTTTTATAATTTTAGAAGAAAATAAAAAGATGTTTGTGTTCAAAATATTATTAAGAAATATATAATATTAATAAACTAAAATTTGTTTAATTTTTCTATTTTAGGTATACATAATATTCACCTTGCTTCGCTTACAATGTATAATTATTAGATACTATTATTCATTAAAAGTTGGACGGAGTGGCCGAGCGGACTAAGGACGTAGGTTCGATACCTCGGCCATGGACGGCATTTTTCTTCGGGAAAGTCACGGTGTCCGGAGAACAGTTCCACCATCCCCCACCTGGGCATGGCAGATACCTACTGATAAAATCAAAAATTCTGCCAAACAAACACGCAAGTGTTCCTCCTACTACCAACAAAAACATATAAACAAAAATAGCTAATGGCCTTAGTTGCAGTGCTCAAGATCAATAAAAAAAAAAAAAAATATTAATTAAAAAGTTAATAATAATAAGGTATATTTTAATTTAAGCTTACAAAAACCGAACAATATTCATAATTTATAACAATTATTATAAGTCTAAATTATTTTATGTGAGTTAATTTTATAATTGTGCATTGCTTATCTCACTAAAAGGATCTAATGAAAATAGTATTTAACGTAAATAATTTATTAAAATTAGATAGGTACCTATTATTATTGCACAATATTAAATAGTTATATATTTTAAAATCATATCTAACAATGTTGATGGTACTTGTTTAGACATAGGTATTTAAATTTGATTAATATTAAATAATTATAAAATATCGCGATAAATTAACCCGTTCACCTTCATATCTAAATATCTTAATGCTTGACAATGCTTTTCAAAGTTTCCTTGTCTGCTGAAGTTATAATACTTTCTTGGATTAGTTGGATTTATACCAAATTACAAGTCGTTGTTTAATCATGTTCATTGCTCTATGACAGTTGTGATTTATGCACGGCATATAAATAATGATAATCGTTTGTTTCGTTATCAAACAAAACTTCGGGCACAATTTTTATACATAAATTATTGTAAAGTAAACTTTTTAAAAACGAATAAAATAGATTTATGATTTTTACCGAATACTATATAATAATATATAATACTTTATACTATAATCAGTGCCGTCGTTAACGGATAGGCAACTTAGGCAATTGCCTAGGGCCTCGCGAAAGTAAAAATATTATCGGGCCTCGCCAAGTTTCCAAAAAAATTAAAAAATTAAAAAGTTTTAAAAATAAATGCTCCTATAATATTATGTGATATGTAACGAAATATTATTTTTAATTAATCGGTAACACATAAATACTGAATACACATTATAGTCAATAATCATAAAGTGTTTCACGACTAAACCGGTCGTGTTCACTCCAACATAGTTTGAATTTATTACTTGGTGATATAGCTAAGAGTTCTGTAAAAGCTATCAGTTTTTTTTTCTAGTGATTCAAAAAGTTTATTGTGTATTTTCATTATCAACTAGCCGATGGGACATTAAAAAAAAATATTGTAAACATTTGACATTAAAATCATTATCTGAAACAAGATGGGAATGCCGAGTAAATAGCGTCAAAGCTTTTCGTTTTCAAATTTCAGAAGTGATTGAATCATTAGAAGAAGTTTCGGAAACAACAAATGACCCAAAAACTAAGTATGAAGCACATTCCCTTGTTGTAAGCGAACTCGAAAGTTATGAATTTATTTTGAGTTTAGTGATTTGGTACGAAATACTTGTGGAAGTAAACATAGTTGGTAAGCATTTACAAAGTGAGAATATGGATTTGGAAATAGGCACGAAATTATTAGATGGATTAATGACTTTTTTAGAAAACTATAGAGAAAATGGTTTTGAAAAAGCGAAAAAAACTGCTAGGGAAATTGCATCGTTGATAAATATTGAGTGTACTTTTAAAGTAAAAAGAGTAAGAAAAACCAAGAATTTTTTTGAATATGAAGAAACAAAGGACAAAAATACTAATGACGCTGAATTAGTATTTAAATATAATTATTTTTATACACTTATTGATCACTCAATTTACGTGGTACAAAGATAATTTTGGCTTTTTATATAATATTGGAAAATTAAAAAATATGGACGACGAATTACTAATGAAACATTGTAAGGATCTTCAAATTCTATTAACTGATGGTTCATCAAGAGATTTAGATGCAGTTGATATGTTTTCAGAATTAATTATATTTCGAAATATTATTGATGATAGTACAACAGTTCTTCAAGCGTTAACGTTGATAAAGAAATCATCTGGTAGTTTTCAAAACATTTCCATTGCTCTTCGAATTCTTTTGACTATTCCCGTTACTTCAGTCGGGGTAGAAAGATCCTTTTCTAAATTAAAGCTTATTAAAACATACTTAAGAAGTACGATGTCTAAAAACAGATTAAATTCATTGGCAACTATCTCAATAGAACACAAATTAGCAGTATCTGAAAAATATAATTCATTGATTGATGAACTTGCCAGTAAAAAAAGTAGAATAAAACGTTTTAATTAATACACAAATATTTAAATAATAAAATTATAATTTCCAAAGTTGTGTAAAATGTATAAGTATATTAGTTTTATACACATGTATTCTATATAATATTATGTTTGAATGTTTTGAGTTTTGATAAAATTAAGATTTTTTTTTATGATTTTTGTATTACAAGTAAAATAAACTTATCACATTTTGAGTTGATTGTATAATCAAAAATATTAATGTAAATTGTGAAAAATTATGATTTGTAATAATAATATACTTAATACCAACAATTAATAACTTCTTTTTGCCTAGGGCCTCGCAAAATATAGAGACGGCACTGACTATAATATACTAAAGCTATAATCTTGGTGGTATAAATTCATAATTAGTGAGTATTGATTTCCTATGAAATATTAATACCTAGGTACTTATTTATACGGTATAATGCTTTTATACTTTAATATCTACTCTAAGTGGTTCGTGGGAACAATCAATTTCTTTTCTGACCCGAGTTCTTGTTTTGTAAATGATATTTCATCGGTATTTTATGAGGGGATTTATTTACGAAATCCGTTCGATGACCCTACGTAGTCGTCCCGTCCGTGCTAATAATAATACAAATTATGACAGTCGTAATAATAATGGACGATGAATGTTTGGGCACATTGACCCAAAGGCCAACACCTTTTTGTACAAAATAGCCACAACATTTGGACATACCTACATAGAATAAAAGGTATTCTATAATTTTGTCCGTTAAATCAGAGAACGTTTGGGTACATGTCATAATATAAGGTTGATCTACAGTAGTGGAACATTACTATACTCAACTTTATAGCTTATACTTTATCTCCAAACCAAGTAGGTTCTACTTTTGAAAATTTCTAATATGTAATAATAAAAATAATTTTGAATTAGTTGCAAAAATTATTTTTCAGGAGACAGTTAAAAGCCAACTTCTTCATGGTGTCTCCCGGGAAACTCTAATAGACTCTAAAAAAAATGTTTACCTAAACGTGTGTTGCCAATCGTTCCCCTATCCCCAAGTTAAAATATCGTTTTGTGCCCAAACATGTTACGGCCGTAACAATAACAATAATAATAGTTAGGGAGCGGATTTCAATGCATTTTTCGAACTTTTTATTTTTCGAGCATTTTTTTGATATTTAAACTATTTTAAACTGATAAAATAAAAAAAATTGTAAATGTTAAAAAAAAATGTTTCCGGGCACTGTAGTACGAGTTAATAATGGTTTTCTTACAATTTATAAAATATTCTAAAATATGCTAAATAAGCTAAATATTCCCTAACCCATGAAAATATTAACAAATATGTAAAAAAAACTTTTTCCTACTCAGAATTGAACGAATCGTCCACATTTTTTACTCTCATAAGACTGCATAATATAGACTCTGTTAGGGTATGTAAAACATAATAAAAAACATATTTATAATATAAATCCGGTCTTTAGTTATTACAGACAATATAATATGATTTGGTACGATAAGAGAATCATATTAGGCACGAATCTCTCCTCGGGTCTTTGCACCAAAGACGATATTATATCCGATGTCAGTCTGAATATTATGTGTTTACCATCAAATGTCCATCAATGACTTAAACAACTCAAACAAAGCAGACTGTAACATTGCTAGAAACTAACATAATTTCAATAAACCTCATTAGTAGGGCTGTGAATTTTTAGGAAAGTGCATTTTTTTTTTGGTGATTGTGAAACGTATAGCTTTGTAAGCACATAACTTGAATTATATAACTACGAATCCATTTATGAAAATGTATTTTGCATTTTTTGCATTTTTGGTCATATTTTCCATTCTTAGTTCATTTTTCGATATTTTTAATCATATTCCGTCAATTATTGACATGTTTGAAAAATTTTTATTTTTTTTTTTGTCCAATGCAATAAAGTTAAGACTAAAGATATATAAGGTACCCTCAATTAAATAGATTTAAGTTTGTTTTATTATTATAACAAAATAAATACATAAAAAAAATGTTTAAAAATGTTTCAAGTGAATAGCATTGTTCAAAATTCAAATTCAATCAATATTTTTATTATTTTTCTTTTAAATTAAATAAATATATTTTTATTCATGTAAAATGTCATGTTTTATGTTTCAATATAAATATAAAAATTAAACTAAAAAGTGAATTTTATACTATAATTTTTTGCATTTTATATTCATATTTTATTGCAATTTTTTAACATTTTTAATACATTTTTTGAGGGTTTTTAGTGCATTATAAATTCACAGCCCTGCTCATTAGTTTTAATTTCGATGACAGTTTAAATAATATTAGGTGCTTGATAGGCATCATGATTTTATTTTTATATGAATTTGAAAAACCATTGGTATATTTATATAAATAGTTAGTCTTTTAAGTGTTATACAACACATTGTGTAAGTACCTAGACGACGTCGTTGTAGAAAATATAATACCACTAAAACGAAATAATAATATAATATTGTGATCAACTAATAAGTGACTAGAAATACCTTTTTTAAAAATAATATTTATTTTTTCATTCCACCTTAGGGTCCTGAAGTTTTTCATTATTTTTGAATGCGTTTCAGTAATACAATTATGATCAACCAGGGTTATAGTTAGGCATACTTATACAATATCGTGACTCGTGGATTCAGTTTTTCGATATTTTCTAATTATAATAATACAATTGTAATGTTCAATTATAATATACCTACCTACCTAATTGGAAATTGAAATAAATTAATGGAATTGAACAAATGTACGGATTCCAAAAATAAACTTTAACCTACGTCGCCTCCTCTTCCTTCACAAAAATTAAATCTAAAACCGAAAAAAGAGGAAAGTAAATATTTATCTGTAGGTACTTCCTCTTTTCATACAAAAGCATAAAACTAAAAACTCCATAACACACGGTGCAGTATTGGTGCACCATGACCAATAATATATCCGATGACTTATGGTGACGTTGCTTTAACATCGAAAAATTACTGAGTTATTAAATTACTTGATTGACCTCATAGTCAAAAAGGTATACAACAAGTCCCCGATCGTGCACCACGGTACTAGTTAAAAATAAAGACCGTGGTTACACTAAATGAGAAAAAAAATAATTACTAAATCAATTCACTTAACTAACAAACTTATATGGTTGAACCAAAACATTGATTAATCGTTATTCGTCCGTCGTTGGTTGTAAATGTTACTTTTCCAATACGCGTTCAACCTCTGCTGAACGTAAGTTTTTCAAACACACATTTTTTGTAGGCTATTTAACAAAAAAAAACAAATTCCGAATTTCAGATGTACTTCCAGTGAACATTTTTTTTCCAGTGAGATAAGACATTTTCAATTGCACCCGATTATTTTATTCGATTAGAACCACGTGCTAAGGAAGGGGGGTGGGATTTTCCTCACTCTATGATTTCATGACAAACATATTGCAAACTCTCAATAATGTACTTCAAATAAATAAAAGTTAATATTTTAAAGTTGTTGAACAAATAAAGTTATTCTCATAATTATAATATACACGCTGTTTTTATTGAAGTATTGAACATAATCGACAGGTAAATAAAAAAAAACCATGTGTGTTACCAGTACGCGCGCGGGAAGTTAAACTTCTTTTGAATGGTACACGTGAGTGAGTGAAAAAGAAAGAAAAAAATATTAATTAATTTAAAAAATGAGAAGAAGTATCCGGAATTATTTATTATTGATAGTTTTATTATTATTTTTTTTTTATTCGACAGATCGATGGATAATTGTTTGTAGTATTGTTTTTATCCAGACAATAGATTTGTGAGTGAATACTAATAATAATAATAAAAATAAATAATAATCGATCATTAATTATTCATATTAATTAGTATGGCCCGATTATAATATATAATACTAGCTGATCCCGTGCACTTCGTCGCCCTTTAAATGTATCAACTCAATATGAGTTATGACTCAAACTTTGTTCAATTCGTTATTCAATATTCGGTGTATGGTGTTCAAAATTTATCTTATCTTTTCCGTTGCCCGGAATAAAAATTCTGAATCGCAGCAGTACATTATCAGGTAGGCAATCTACCTGCGGTAGATCGCGGACCCCGTGCTGTTTGTACGGAAGTGTATGATTTAACTCTAAATTATCAAAGTTAGACCAAGTTTATTTTGATATAATACGGTGGATTAATATAACAAATTTAGTTGCTCGTAAAAAATCACAACTCTTAAACAAATTATGATTGTTGAACTCCTTTTGGGTGTAACTTGCTGGGGTAAGTGCAACTCAGCCACCCTGGTAGGCAATGTTCAATAATTTGATTTGATGCAAGCTTGTACCTGATCTGCCCGAATAACCAATGACAACCAATAAATAAATGCTAATTTCTAATGTAGACTGTAACCAATGGCAACTATTAATAAATAAAAATAAAATTTCCATCTTGAATCTCAATGTCCCTGTTTGAGCACCTATTTAAAATGCGAATTTCGAAATATCCTTTCTTAGCGCACGTCTACATCATAATAGCTAACTGTATGCCAAATTTCAGCCAGATCCGTCCAATGGTTTGAGCTGTGCGTTGATAGCAGTCAATTAGCTTACTGTTTTATATATTATACAGATATATATATAATAAAACAACATTACCATGACAATATTTATTTATTTACGGACATGTACGCTTTCGCGTTCGTACGGCCGCCCGTTCGTACGCGCCGCCCGTTCGCTTTTTTTTTTCCTCACTACCGTGCGTAAAGAAGTATAACTTCAAAACAAAGAATATTTTAAAAGCTTTTTATATTAAAGCCAGAGACTCGGATAAACTTGCCTTAGAGGCTAGGTATTACGTCAATGCTTATTAAGGAAAATTTTTTTTCCCCAAAATATGTGATTTAAGTTACTGATTTTGAAATGTTAGAAAAAATTGTCAATATTTTAGATTCAGAGTGGAGCGAATAGTATATAATATAATATATTTGTTTTACAACGACATGTTATACTTTTGTGTGTCTATCCTTAATTTGT